GAAAACCAGTGCCACGCTTTCACAGGGGTTTATTTTTCACAGGCGAACAAACCGAAGAAGTCGGCGACAGTGGGGAAACGCGCGCGAACGCGGGAGGAGGAGGAGGGAAAAAAATGAGGAGTGAAATTTTACGAGCCTTAACCCGTGGCCGCCTGTGGACGTAAAGCGGCTTTACGACGTCTAGAATGAAAGTTTCATTCCGTGACGGCGCGACAGAGTCGTCGAAGGAGAGGGAACGGCGTCGGGGATTAACTTGGCCGGAAATAAAGCGCGAGGGCTCGATAAAGATAAAGAATTGGTTGGTGGTTCGAATCGATTTTCGATCGGATCTGGTTGGGGGGTTGGAGGGGTTGGTAACGAGGTGAATGAAGGAGCGTGGCACTGTGATATACTAATTTACGTGATTACAGGAGCATGAAACGGAGGGATGGGGGTGGAAATGTAGGGCAAAGTACGAGGTGCAAAGGATGTTTCCTTGTCGGATTTCTGGGAATATTGTAAAGATGTTTCCTTTTTCTTTTTATTTTATTAATTCGAAAGAATTAACACTTTGACAACTGCATTTAAATACTTTTAAGATAGGTTTTTAAAGTGAATATAAATTCGATCAACTTCTCTTGTTACTTGAGATTTTTATTGTTGTATTCGTATAGTAAGGTTGGAATTTTATTATTAGATTAAGAAAGATTTTGACTATTGAGAATTAATGTACTTGTTGTAAATTTTCTTCCAATATTATATAATTTTATTATAGAGTAGTTATTTTAACCTTACGCAATACTTTTTTTCAATTGAATAGAAATAAAAAGTTTTTCGAATCACGATTAAGAACACTGGTTTAAGTGCACAAACGAATTGAACAAGCAATATTTTGATGATAAAAATTATAATCACGTGTGTAAAAGCGACAACAGTTGTTAAAGTGTTAATTTTAGAAAAAAGAAAAAAGAAAAAGTAATCTTAGATAAAAATAAGAACAAATATATAAGAAAGTTCGTGTTCCTATCTTACAAAAGAACGTAAATAATTATCGAAACAACAAAGTTACGATTATCAATTACTTACAAGAAGAAATGGATCGGAAACAATCGATAAAGACAAAGTACAGAAGAAACTTGTTAATCTTACCTGGACGAAGACAGACACTTTCATGATCCTTATTAGGTCCTCTTAATGTTCAATCCTCTATGATAAAAAAGTACTCGCAAGGTAATGGTCTTAAAAACTTTGTGTATAAAAAACGTCGTATCGTTGTTGATCGTACAAATGGTCCCCTAATAACTCTACGATCATCGATCGTGCCATTCATCGAAATCGATGAATGGAAACTCGATTGAAATCTTTTAAAACTTGCATAGCTGAGTTGAAGAAATTAATTTTATTCGACAAAAAAAAAAAAAAAAAACGAAAACTGATAACAAATTTCATTCCGTGGCGAGAGCCTCATCATCGTCATCACTCGCTTGAAAAAATCTTCAACTCCGCTGGTTGGAAAAGAAATATATATTCATAGAGGATCAAAGTGAGACGTGTTCGTTGGACGGACATTCACGCCGTAGAAAAAAAAAAAAAATAAGAAAAAAAAAGGGAAAAGAAAAAAAAAGAAAAAAAAAGGGAAGAAGAAACATCTCCCGAAGCGGAGTCGTTTCAGAAGCTTTCTCGTGAAAGGAACTGTTGTCTCTCGGACAGAGAGGCACCACCTTTGTCGGTATCGTCTAACATCACGCGAGGAAAGTAATCTAGATGAAGAGTTTATCTCATGACAACGCCGGCGCCGAGCGATCGTTCGTCTTCGTTTTGCGTAGCTTTACCGTTGCGAATATGTTTGTCCTGGAAGAATCGAATCATCAAAGGGGATTTAATATAGTCGAAATATATGTGGATCTGTATAAAGAATTGATGGAATTTTTTTTTTAAATTTTCTCACTTACAATTATCCAAGCAGTTCTTCTTTTTCTTCTTTTTCTTCTTTTTTTTTTTTTTAATAAAGTAAGAAATTTTGAAAATAGTTTTAACAAGTTGCCCAGAAATTAATTGCGATTTATTAACATATATCGTTTGAAATGTTAATTAATTGTGAGGAAATATAAAAATATAAGAAAATCGAAAAGAATTTTTAGCTTTGGATATCGATTTTTGGTAAATGTAAAAAATAATAGTAAAATGGCCAAAAGTGCAATAGAATCAAGGACACGTGTGAAGGGAAATTCGAATGCTCGAAAATTCTATTGTTTAAATTTCTGTCTTTTGTATTTCTTTCTTTTTTTTCTTCATTTTTATGGTGCGATTGTAAGCCATTCTGGAATGGAAAATTTTCGCGTGACTCGCGCTGTTAAATGTTAAACCAAGAAGCGAAGATGAAAAACAAGAACACGAAACTAAATTTTAAATTGAAATAAAAATTTGTAATATAGATATTCGATAAAAAACTGCAATTTATTTCGGGACAACTTATGCATGATAGAAAAGTTATGAGACTAAACGAAAATTTTAACAGGAAAGATTGAACTGCTTTGATCTTGAAAGCTGTACTTGTAAAAAATCTTTCGTAAGCTGTAAATTTACTTTGAAAAAAAAAATGTAAAAAAATTCCATGCAAAAATTGGAAATAAAAATTGCAAAATCCGCAGAAATCCGTAGATTGGTTACAATAAACTCGCGTTACAGTATCACAGAACAACAATGGACAGCATACAACGATTCTCCAACATTGACACGATATTTCATGCGAAGCGTAAACACAAATAAAAATGAAAATTTTTTTTCGCACGAGAACAACGCGCTATTTAACATTCAAATTTCATCGGATGGCAAGTGCTATGAAAGAAGATACGCAAACGAATTCTTCGAGCTACGCAAAAATGAAACGAAACATACACACAAACGCACAAACGTTCGAAAACAAAAATAGATCGATGAAGATTTTTTACAGTCGCGACAAAAATTCGTTTGGATTAAAATACGACACAACTGGCATAGTGATATCAAATTTTTCCCCCTAAAAAAAAAAGAGAGAAAAAAAAAAAAGAAAAAGAAGAAATTTAAAACAACGAACATGGTATCCTTCATGACATATCGAAATGAAACATCGTGGGAATTGAAATTGAATTCTTCGTTGAACACTCGTGCGTGAACCGCAGATTTTTATGCAAATGCAAAATTTTTGTATCGCATATATTTTGCATATATTACATAAATATCAATCAATGTAACATATCTTTCCTCTGCAATACCAGTTTTATCTGCATAATGGCTAAATGTTATAAATAAATCTAATAATATTCTGAATAAAAATGTTGATTATGACGTGACGCATCGAAAATTGCAAGAATTTTAAATAATCGTGTTCGTAAAAGGATAAAGTTTTATTATAAATTAATTTTTTTCTCGAATAAATGATACAATTTATCAAGAAACTTGGAAAAAATTACTATTATAATAAAAATTAATTTGTATTACTTATATAAAATATATTTATTGAAATAAATAATCTGCAGATAAACTGGTATATACACCATAAATAATATGATATATTTTCTACAAATTAGTAGTTAAATATTTGAATAAATTTGCATAAGAATCTACAGTCTATTCATATGCAACAGTCGAATGAACGTTACGACATCGAGTATCAAATTGTTTCGGTCAGAAACTAATTTACACGGGTAATGAAGGAATACGTGGGCACAAAGTTTCGAACTCGAATAATTATTAATGCGGAAACTAGTTTACACGATCGTTTTTAAGCCTGTCGTGGAAATGCGCGCAATATTATTTATGCGTTCGTTTATGCATCGACAGGAACGATTTATGGTAACTGACAGATTTAATTCCGATCATTCAAGCATACGATTAAATTTCCAAAAACTTTTCTACTCGTGTTTCACTCAATTAATTGTCGAAGCGTGAAAAAAAATACGAATCAAGCGTGAAACTTTTAAATTATGTAAATTAGATTTATCCCCGATGATATCGAACATTCGATACTTTTTAATATTTGAAACTTGTTAGAGATTAATTCGAAATCGTCGAATTTAATGGTTGATCAGAAATTTGTAAAATTGAAAAATTCGCGACACATTAGTTAAAATAACCATACGTACGACGGATCCAACAAGAGTTACGATTGAATCATCATCCATAACATTGTTCTTTCCATCGTTGTGACAGGCTGATAAAAATGGACCAAACTTGTTCCTTGCATTCTAAATTACGATATGCTTTATGCTTAACGTCAACACAATGATATCCGATCATTAACAAGCGTCGACGAAAGCAGTAATAAAATAACAACTATGCTCGCAAAACATAGGCTTAAACGTATCAAAAAAAGCAATGGGAACTGCACTATGTGGAAGACTTGCGAAACGGTCATTCGTGGTGTTGATCTGATATACGAGGGTGGAGATGATATAATAAAACTGGAACGTAATGACAAACACAAAAGAAGAAGAGAAAAAAAAAAATAATAATAATAATAAAAACGAGCAAAATCTTAAAATTATAAATCGTATCGTGATCTCTATCTCCTCTTATCCTCGGGCTCGTTCGTCCCAAAAATCGATCTCGTTTCGTTCAGATCTTTCGAAGGAAGACGATCTCACGTCTTCTCGTCGACTTACGTGATAATAACTCAACGTAATAACGTTTTTTAATAAACTTTGAGACGTGATAAAACACTCGAAGCCCACGAGGGATTCAAACAACGATACTGATTCAAGAAGCGGTGGACGAAGAAGACAGTTTAATAGATTTATTGCTGTTTCTTCTTCTTCTTCTTGTTCACGGAGGCGTCCACTCCCCAAAGGTCGTACCACGGTCCACAAGTATTCTTATCTCGGTCAGAATCCCTACGGAGTTTAGTTCTAGGAAGAAGAGTCTTCTCGGCCACTGTTTGATCTTTGACCACGATGCAACTGTATGTAGACTCCTCGTCCGACGCCTCCGTCTCGCTCAACGTCTGAGTCAAACCGTCCTCGTCGTCGGTGTACTTCTTCCTCCTCTCGTTCCTCTTCGCCTCGTTGTTCTCCTTCAATTCGGCCACTATCATGTTCCGTTTAGCCTCCAGGCTCCGCTTCCTCTCCTTCTCGATTATGGCTTTCCGCGATACATTGCCCATGAAGTAGGATCTCTCGTCCTGGTGCATTCGATATTCGGACCGCTCCACAGTCTTTGGTCTTTCCGCGGGCGTAGGGAAATCCTCGAAGTAATCCGATTTCTCGGGCACGTGGATCCTCTCCGCCGGTTTCGGCTCCTCGTGATGCGAATCGTTGGTGATCGTCACGTCGCTGTTCCTTTTCTCCAAACTTTGCCGAGAATTCGGACTACCCTCTGGGCTCTGCTTCTTCGAGTCGTCCATGGCGTTCACGTCCTCCTTCGCTTCCTTTTTGATCATTTTCGGAATGTCGACCAGAGATCTGTGCTGCCAAAGTGCCATGCCTTCGAGAACATCGGAATCTCTCCTGAACCTCCAGAAGGATTTCGTTCTCTTCACCAATTTAGGACTCTTGGAATCGACGTCGAAGGCTCTACCGGTCTGTATCAGGTGTCCTACCGCGGTCGTCTGTCTAGGAAGCAACGGTTTCCTATTGTCGTCTTTCAACATGTTGTTATTCGTGTCGTTCTTCTCCAAGATTTGCCCGTTCCTCTGGAACTTCTGAAGATTGCTCTGACCAAGATTCTGATAACCGTGCCTCTCGATCACCTTCGTCCTCTCCAGCTTCGTCTCGAAATTCGACTCGTAGCCGCGTTCCTTGTCCATCGACACGTTCTCCCTCACGTATCTCGTCTCTCCGTAGATAGCTTCCTCCTTGTCCGAGTATCTACGCTCTCTGTAGACGTTGCGGGGCTCGGTCGGTCTCTCAGGAGCTTCTTCAGAGGGCGGCCTCGGCCTCTCGAAGCGGCGGCTCGAGGCTCGCTCGATGTTCCTATTTCTATCGGGATTCTTTTCGAACGTTCTTTCCCTTTCGTAAGTGGACGTCTTCTGGGCCGTGGTCGGAGACTTTTCCAAGTATCTCTCCCTCTCCCTCTCGAACCTCTGCGGCCCACGATTCCTCTCGCAATCGTTATACCTCTCGTACGGCGGGGGCGGCTGCTTATCCTCCCTGCGCTCTAAACTTCTGTAATCGTTCCTTCGTTCTATGAACTTGGGAGGGCTGTGCTCGCGAGCGTACTTCTGCGCCGTTTGCTCCAGTTTCTGCGCGATATGCTCCACCTTTCTGCCGGTCTCCGGAATCGTGATGGTGCTCTCGTCATCCGTCCCCGAGGAAGATACCGAGGACACCTTCTCGTTCTCGTACTTGGCCTCTTCCTGGGCAACCGGCCGATAACCTCGACGAGAGTTGCGCTCCTGGCCATCGCTTCTGTCCCCGTAATATTTCTTCCCATCGTACTTTTGATAATCCATCCTGCCACCGTAGGTATCTTCCTCCTCCTCCTCCAACTCTATCTCATCCTCCTCGGTCTCCTCTTGCTCCTTCCTCTTCGACTCTCTGCCTCGATCCTGCTCGCTTTGCTCGTTGCTCCTCCTCGTAGATTTCCTAGATTGTTCCTCGTTGTTCAACGGCTTGCTTTTGTGGCCGGGATTAGCCCGGCCACGATTATCGTACTCGTTCTTCTGCGCCCTCTCCTGCGCCTTCTTCCCGGATTTCCTGGCCGGCCCGTTCTCCATAGTGGCGCGGTCTGAGAAGTCTCGCTTCCGCTCTTGACTGTTGTAGTGGCGATTCTGCTGGTGGTACCTCGTCTCCCCATTCTCGTTGCTCTGATTCGCATTCGCCTCCGCCCAAATGTCCATCGCTGTCCTGTAAAGGTGCCAACTCTTCTCGTCCCTTGGTATCGTCTTCCAGGAATCGTTCTCCCAATCCTTGCCGTTCGACTTGTCTTCCTTCTGGTGTTGCTTCACCGCCTCCGTTATTCTATCGGCACGCGGCTTTCTTCTTCGTTGTCTGCGTTTTCGTGCGGGCTCGGGATGAGTAAAAAAAAGAGAGAGAAAGAGAGAGAGAGAGAGAGAGAAAGAGTAGAGAAGAAGAAGAGAATGAGAGAACGAAAGACGAAGAAGAAGAAAAAGAAGAAAAAGAAGAAGAAGAAGAAAAGAGAGCGGAATAGTGCAGCGTATGGAGAAAAAGAACCAAGAGCCAAGTACGTGGGTAGGATTAGTTATGCGGCTGTCGAGCTTTGTGGTCGCGGATATTGCGATATGCGGGGATGGGGATATGGCTGCTGGCATCGCAGGAGCCCGGAGAGGTGAATGAGCCACCACCACGCCGTATTTTATTTCCATCGACCACGATAACGCATGCGGAATCTACAAATCAGGAGAGAAAACAACATCGTGACTCTGAGATAAAGCCTACGGGTTCGATAAGGCTGGATATTGGGTGTGATCGCGATTATTTCCTTTTTTTCCTTCTTTTTTTTTTTTTTTTAAGTAAACGATGAGCGAAACGATCGTAGATCTAGTTTTGGTTGCCGGCCATTGCTCTTTTCTTTAAATGTTACTTATGGATGTTACTTCTGGAACTCGAAGTACAGAGAATAGACTTTATATCGATTATTATTAGTTCACGGTATTAATTCACGGGAATAAAAAATAAAGAAGACATTATATGATTCGAGCACAAAAGATATTATCTAAGGAAAGGGTCTATGAATTCTACATTGTGCATGCATAATATATATATATATATACACATATATATATGTACATCCTATATTGCTTCGATCCATACGGAAATGAAACGAAATGAGAAGAAGATATTTAATGGAAGGAGAGGAGGGGACGTTAGATTTGATAAAAGAAAAAAAAAAAGAAGCTACGATATCTACGATACAAATCTATCTATTTCTGTACACTTCGTTAGGGAGAATACCGAGGAACCAAGAAAACGAAATTAACGGCAGAGCAGGGATAAAATACAAAGCTCAAAGTCGACGAATCAGACAGCCAAAAGCGTTTTCCACAGGTTTGCCAAACAATCATCAACTACTTCCGACGAGGTTCAATTAGAGTTATCTAAAGTGTGTCTCTTTGACGAAATTTTCGTGGTTATCGCTCACCTCATGGCCTCGTCGTCGCTGTAATCGATGTCGGGTTGGGCTGGTGGCTCGTTTGAGAAACCGCTGTCGTTACTGCTGTGAAGAGACGTCACGACTTGAGGGGGTGGAACGGGTGGAGCAGGTGGCTGTATCCTCCGGCCACCGGCCAAAACAGTGGGCAATGTGCCCGATGGACGGATCTGTGTGGAGGAAAGTTTATGAGATTTACGTTTCCTTCTTCTCCTTTTTATTTTTTATTTTTTTTGGAAAGACGCTGGTCGAAGGAGGAGATACCGGTTTCTGAGGATGTATCTCAGAATGCGTTTAAGGTTATTGAATCTCTGTTCTTTGAGCATGAATTTAAAGATGTTTCTTTTTTTTTTCTTTTTATTCGGACGTTCTTAAATTCCTTGAAACGTGAACATTTAATGGAACTTTTACTCGTTTCTTAATGTCAAATATCTCGTGGACTTATTTTATTTAGACTTTTCGTTTTCTACCAAAGATCTTTTTTTCCGGATTATAGCGTGCTCGAAATTGATTTATCTCAAATTGATTCATCTCTTAACATCGAACTGATAACAAAAAAATCAATAAATCAGGATAAAAGGGAATGACAAAATTTTTACACTCAAATTTCTGTACATCTGTTACGAGCAACAAGGTAATAATACAATAATTCATCAAAATGTCATATCGTGGCAGATGAACGAACTTATTGAAAAAAAAAAAAAAAGGTGATGCAACGGTAATTTTTCCGAAATGAATTCAACGATATCGATATTCCGACCGAAAAATCATTCTCACCGGTTTCGTTTGACGTGCAGTAGGTGTCGCCAAATTGTGAGAACTGTTGCTGTTCGGCACATTAGTGGGTGTGCCTGTACTGCTGTTATTGTTGTTACTGTTGTTGACGTTGTTGTTTCCTACCCCATGGAATCCACTCGACACTTCATCGATGCTCGGTGTCACTGGCGGGCGAGAGGGTGGCGGCTTACAGGGTGGAACCGCCTGTGGCTCCGATGCGCGACCATTGTTTGTTCCGTGACTCGGCGATCTTCACATATTATCGTACACATTCGATTTTAGCGATAATGCTAACGATTGTGGCTAAATCCGAATCGTTGAAAATGTCAGGGGAGGGGAAGCGTCATTTGTCAGAGAGGCATTCTCTGTTGCGGAATATTGGTAATCATAAAATGTATCTCTCTGACATGGGGGAAAATACGTAGGAAATATTATTGATTTTGTCGTTTCAATTTTTCTTCTTTTTTTATTTCCCCCCTCTTTCCTTTCGAATTTCGTTGTATTTATTTTAATTGGAATTTCAAACAAATTCTATCCATAAAGATGTATCATTTTATAAAAGAATGACTTTACTTTTCCGTAAATAAGAAATATTTTGCAACAGTGTTTAATATCGTACGATTACAAATGTAATTTTTACTCGTGACTTTATTCGTATTTTGTAGACAAGATCATAACACATGTTACGTTTGTTAACATTTGGTGTTAATTGTTTAATTATATGAATTGTTGTATCATTTCAAACAAGATTGACTCAGATATAGAATTATGCATATTCTTACAGTTTCTCGTAACCCGAGCCTTTCCGATAATAATACTTCTGCAAAATTTATATGTATTTACCAAATACATTAACGAAACTGGTTTCTAAATAAATATCCAAAGTGTTTGACATTTTCTTAGACGGGCGAAACGAATGGAAGGAAAGGAAAGGAACGTGAATAAAAAAATTCACGTTTTGCATAATTGCCAATTCAAGAGGATCGTTCGAAAGATTAAGAACCGGGATTAACATTTTTATGCCGTCGAAATTCCGTGGCTGCCGATACATATATCAAACGTTAAAAGCTTTTGTGACAAAATTTCCATATCGTAAATCGAGTGTCGGAATAAGGGGATTTAGTGGAGTGTATGCAACAATAACACCAAGACAAATATACGTTTAATGGGAATAGCTAGTATCGATATCACCCATTGCTCTCCCCTCCCCCTCTCCCCGTTATCGTTCTAGATTAGCGTAATTGCATTCGACCCGTGCAATTGTTAGCAACGAGCATCGTAACAAGATCTGTTGTGATATCGTTCAGCTTGAACCAAAACCAGGAGACTTTCCTCCCCTCTGTTAACTTACCCCAGACTATCGTCGATAATAATTTCTGTGTACGCCAGTGGGAACCATCCGGAACTCTGTGTGCGGAGATTCTCCCCAAATTGCCACCCTTTCTGACGATCTCCTAATAAGGTAGTTTCGTGAAATAGAAATAATCGTTTATATGGCGGTTGTTCGGTCGATGAAGGGTCGATAATTTCGAAGGGATGATTTTTGTCTGAGATGGCCATTATCTCTTGTATAAAAGTTAAAATAGTCTACGCGAAATTCTATAACTGTATGATCGTAAGCGTAATTTTGATCAAGCTGCTTCGTTTCGATTTTTCGGAGAGCGATATGTGTAAACTGTATATTAGCCAATCAAGCAAGCATTTTGTCATTCGTTTCAAAATAGTTTTTAGAAAGATCGCGAGTGACGTGTCACAGATTCAATTCTTTAGTGATTCGAGTGAGAAAATTTGGGAAATAGTAAGCCTTGGAAAACAGAAACTTCTCCGATATCTTAACTACGACGAAAAAAAAAGAACCGGTCTTTAAGTTCCATTTCTCCAGAAATGGATTCCCATATCAACTCAACATCGTGTTTCCAACACATACTATGCCCAAAATTTTCGCGACTCGCCTCGAAATACTTGAAATTTCAGATGAAACCCGAAACAAGCAACTTTAAACTCCGGAAATATTTCACATATTTGTTTCACGACTGTTTCAATTGTATCGTAACACCGTAATAATTAGAAGTTATCGTGCAAACGAATAATTCCGCGGTCGAGGAATAATCTCGAAACTCGCCATCATCCACCACTCACCCATCAACGCGATGAGATCGCCCTCGAGGAAACTCAGCTGATTTTCCCCCGAGCTCAAATAGGCGAAGAGGGCCCTCGCGAGGGGCGCGTCACCCCATCCGCCTGAGCTCACCCCTGTGCCGCTGCCTCCGCCGCCTCCGCTCCCGCTGTTGCGTGATGCCGGGGGCGCCATGGACCTCGGCCTTGGCGGAGTTTCCGGTACCTCTGCGAAAATAACGGAGGGAGGGAGACGATTAACCCGGCTCATTTCGTAATTTGCGCGTGGCGTGAGGGGTGGATCGGATCCTAGACTCTCGAGTGGAAAGGATTTCAGTCGTTGGGATCCTCGTTGCTCCTTCACGTTTGCGTGAACAAATTGCGTATCCGCTGTTGCGCTACTGGATCTTCTCGAGGAATCGAGCGGGCTGGGTTTGTGCGAAGAATGCGAGGATCAGGTACGCGAAAATTCATTCGGGGATCGAGTATAGGGAAAAGAAATTTTGTCTATATATACTAATTCGTAAGGTTGTTGTCTCTTTCATTCCTCCACCAGAAGCTAATAAATGTTTTTTCTTTTTCTTTTTTTTTTTTTTCACTCACGTAGTTTTGGGTTGTAAATTCACGAATCTGCTAGGTAGTTGTGCGATGTCGGTGTTTGCAGTGTAAAATATATAAAATCGATAAAAAAAAGGTATGGGTATAAGTTGTGTTCCAACAACGTTATTTTACAACGTTCCATTCTCCTGGCCCCGAAAGAATGGCCGCTCGCCAAAAGCCATCACGCTCGAAACAAAATGCTTATCCGAATATTTCTATCCGAACATCCTCATTATACAGTCTATTTTTCCGTCGCATCATTATCAGCTGATTCACGCGCTTGGCTTGAGTGCAAAGAGTACAAACGAGTACAAAATCTCGACTAAAATTTGTTTACTGCAAAGAAAGAAAGAAAAAAATAATAATCGGTAACTTCACTTTCGATCAAATCGATTTATCAATTAATCAAGATATATTTTAGTTCCCGAATTTTAATGGAAATCTAAAGAGATTGTCACTTCGTTATTATACCGATTAATATAATTTTTTTTTCTTTTTTTTTTACTCCATATATAATGGGGAAGTCGCAAAATTCCCGGCCGTGTGAAACGATCGACAAATGGAATTCGATATTCGATACAGCGGACTCTCTCGGCTTTCCAACTGCTTCACGAGCACTTCTCCACCCGATCGTGTTGCACTCGTTTGTTACGTGTTCAACCCCACTCGATACGTAGCCGACCATTGGTATTCGTTAAAATAAAAAGGATCGTGCGGTGTCGCGTTTTCGCATTCTCCATTCACTGCACAGCCTATCCGTGTATATATACAAGATCGAATTAAAATTTCAATCCTTTCGGATTTACACTCCCCCCCCCCCATATTCGGGTATTCGACATTCGGGGAATACCCTTTCAATTTCGTCGTTTCAAAAATCCTCCTCACATTGTTTTTCCCGAGATTCTGGCAAAAATGGAGGAGGGGAAAGAATTTACCTGGATCGAGGGACAACGTCGAAGCGTGGAGGTTGGCCTCCGATCTTGCTCTGGAGAGGGCGGATGAAAGATGCGAAGTTGGACCTTGATAAGTGGCACTTGGCACATTTCCGGATGGCGGCCCAGGTCGAAGCTCCAAGCAAGAACTATCCATGCTTCTGGTCTTTCTCAATTGTGAGCTCATCGTTAATTCGGATCCACCGTTCTCTTCGTCCTCCGGCCAGAATGATACTTGCTGAAACACCAAGTCAAAAAATGAAATTAAATATATCGATGTGTAATTAACCGTTTCTCCTGAACAATGATGTTCGTGTTTCGCATTCATGATTGTTAATTTGGAAAAAATTAAAGTCTTTTTATATACAACTTTATTAGACGAAGAAAAAGTAGGGAAAATTTAGAGTCTGATAGTTAATACGTTATAAATTCGTTCAGATTCGACGATTGTAGCTAAGAAAAATACATTCTGTCTAATAAACTGTGAAGGAGGAGACTGTAGCGGAAAAATATTCCAAGTATCACTCACTCTAAGCCTGGAAGCGAACATATCTTCCACGGATTGGGGTAAATATTCCCTGGTAGCAGCTACCTCGCGCCACTTATCAACCGAGGGATGAAGAGCAGCTAACGCGACCTCGTGAAAACTCGCATAATGTTTCGCCAACGAGCATTGTCGTTCGAGAACAAAGCCGTACCTTCTTCGTTCCTGAGTCATGGCCTGAAAAAAACGAGAAGGTTCGTCATCCCTCTTTCTTTGTACCTTCATCTAATTGATCTATTTCCCTCGACGTTACGGAGCCAACGCGATTTCGTTTAATCATCTCCTGATAATTAGCCAGCTAATATTGCGCTGAGGAAAAAAATTTTATGTCGAAATTTAACTTCAAGTTTTGAAAGATTAACAAGAGATTACCACATTTAAAAATATCAAGTAGAATAAAATTACTATAAAAGTTAATACTGAAAACATCTATTTTCTAAGAAACTATATTAAAAAAATTATGGGAAAAATACATCTATATGAATCAATTTATTAATTTAAACAGAATATTAATTAAATCAGATAAATTTTTTCTCTCAAAAAAAAAAAAATATCTACATTTTTAATTCCGCGGACATTCCCTAATCCAAAGTTAATTATCATCTGCCTTGTTATCTAACGTGAACAGTTGGCACAAAAAAAAAAAAAAAGAAAAGGAAAAAAAAAATTTCAAACGAGAACGTATCTGGCTGCTTTTCATTATATAAGAGCTTGTCCATTACATACTTACATTCTTCAAACTCTGTTCACAAAAGGCGTCTAGCTTAGACTTCTCCTCCTCGAGGATCTGCATATTCTTCAGCTCTTTGTCCATGGCCAGTCCACTCTTGCTCGCGCCCCTCGACTTTTTCCTCTGCTTCTTCATCGTGGCGGCCGCTTTGCTATAAGTTTCGGACCTGGTCTTGTGCTGCTGCAGAAACTTCTTCTGCTCGCTCTATACGAATATTATTGAATATTATTCAGAAAAAAGAAATAAACAAAAAAAAAAAAAAAAGAGGGAAATCCAACTGGCGCCATCACCACGGTTGATAGTCGCACCGTGGTCGAGGACTACGCGATGCACTCACCTGCACGACCTTGGTGTCTTTCTCCAGGTTCGTCTCGAGGGGGACCAGTAGGTCGACGTAGAACGCTTTCAGCTGAAAGCAAAGTGAAACGCTAGTTAGGCAGAGTTCAAGACGGTGGAAAATTTTAAAGCGTGGAAGCGCGGAAGAGGTGAATTCGAAACGAGCTTAGGTAATGAGGGACTTTTAACGTTTCCTATGTAAAAGAGGCAACCGTTTCTTCTCCCGTTTCGCGATGTTGCTGGCTGCGTTTTTACGACCCGCCTGTCTGACCCGTTTTTAAGCCTGGGTTTCACGTGGGTTGGGGGTACGACCGGTTGAACACCGTGATGATCTCGTAAAATTTTTAACCACCGTTTATTGTTACCTTTGCGATGCGATTATTCCAGAGATACTATTTTAGAGACACTTTAGGGAAGGTTGGTGATTTATATCGTGGTATTAAGTAAAGTTTTATGCGAAGATGGATGACAGATGCTATAAAAGTATTTTTCTCTTCGTAATTCAATTTCTTTAGAGGTTTTTCGTTCATTTTTGAAATGAAACGCAAGAATATAGTTTCATGCAAGAGATACGAACATGCGATTCGATATACTTGTAGAAGTATATTTTAAGCGTAATGTAATACATAATAAAATAATTTTTGAGATTCTTTTCTAAGGCGCTAAGTAGATGTTCATCCTTCTTTCTTTGCTCTAAAAAGAATTCGAATATTAATAAATCTTTCTATATAAAAGGAACGATACTACATTTTATAGGCTCTTTTAATTAATTTTGTGAAATATTTAACCAACTAGTTATAATTAATCTATAATTTAAAATTCTTTTAATCCAATTAATCCAATTAATTTATCTAAATACTACTCGTGTATAACAAATGAAATAACAAATATTTTATACAGCCATTGGATATAATTGGTTTACTTAACGCGCGATTTCTATTCCTCTAACTTTGACAAAAACGGAGAGGAAAATACATTTGCCTTGAGCAACAATCAAAATTGTACGTTGCAGTATGAACAATCTATCAGACACGACGAAATAGAAATCAGAGAGTCTATTCGTCGAGATCCAGAGAGTTGACGTTGGTTGTGGACAACTGGATAACTGGAGGTTGATCGGAATTTTTTTTCTTCCTTTTTTTTTTTATCCCATCCACGACTTAATGGATATTGATTAGAGACAGCGTTTCGATCAGAAATACGTTTTCACGAGTGGATAGCCTTCTATCCCCCCGTTGGTGTCCATGAAAAGGGAACAGAAATACGGGGGAGTTGAAATGGAGTTGTTGATCCGTTGAAAAGATCTTCACGATTCGTTTTGCGCCGATCTCTTATTAAGGATCAGCTTTCAATAAGTCCAATGTTTCTTCAAAAAAATTTTGCGTACTTATTTGCTTTGTGAAGACGAAAAATAAAGAAGTGAAATTATTATTATTATATAGTGAGTAATTTGTAGATGCTGCGTCAACAGCTTTGATCATTTTCATTCAGAAATGAAGAAAAGAGATGTTTAATATTAATTTGGAATCCAGAATAATTATTCGTTATGTTTTTCGTAGCTGCAATTCTTACACTATATCGGTATCTTTATTCTAATATCAGATATTCGACAATAGTGAAATTTTACAAGATGGCAAGAATATTTTTTAATCTCTTAGATGCCAAATTTATTTCCACCATGCATGCAATGCATACGAATTTACGAAAAATCAGATTCAAAGGAGAAGTTTCATAGACAAAAGTGATTCACACGAGTGTATAAAATATCGTGAAGCGATGTTAGTTTTTGCATTGTGCGGCAAACAAATCATGTATTTTTCCACGTGACTCTGGCTCCAACTCTTCTTGAAGCGATGCAATGCACGCACGGTCGATTTTATTTAAGCGTTTGACAGTTTTACGTTCGGCTTTCTCGTCGCCTCATAGAAGCACATGGAGTTATTTATTCGTCGGAATCTTTCCCTTCTCTTCTTCTCTCCCTTTTTCTCTCTTTCTTCTCTCCCCCTCTTTTCCATGATTTTTTCTTCCTTCCTTGTTCCCTGACAAGCCGATCAAAAAGTAAATTTTGCCAGGAAACTTTTCACGAAACGAAACGCTCGAAATTTCGTCCAACGTGTTTTGATTTACAAAGTCTCGAATTTAATTAAGCAATTCGAGCAACCGGGAAGGATAACCGTGAAACAACACCGTTCAATTTTAATGTCGAGTTCGAAACTTTTACAGCCGGACTTTACGATCCATTTCCAGGCCTGTGGCTTTAGTTGCTTATTTCATTGTTTTCGCTCCTACCCCCCTCTCCCTTTTTACTCTCCATCGCGGAGAAGGAATCCACCACCATGTTAACCCCTTTGTACTTGGCGATCGGCGCACACCAATATTCGAAATATAACAATGAATCGAACGGAAACCAATTAACTTTTTGCATTGCATTTTTAATTACCTTCGATCGAACTCTATTGCGAAAAGAATTCATACATCTTCTTCTTCGTATTTTAAAATATAAAAATTTTGATAATATATAATTATTTATCATGTTTAGTTTATCACGTTAACCCAACTTATAACATTTCGATTTTCTTCATAAAGAAACTAACGAAGAGATTTAATAAATCGAAACATACATTATCCTAGCATCCCTTAAATTAATGCACAAGACAGAAATAAAACAGACCTCTTACCATAATAAATATAAAGATAGATTTCCTTTAAAATTTTTGCACATATTCCCACAATTCTTGGATTAATTTTAAATCCGCCGTTGACCATCTCTCCCCTATCTTTGAAATTATTCCTCCTCCTCCTCAAATTTAAGAATGCAGGAGGACTCGATGACGACTTGGGCCAGCAAGCATCCATCAAGCTAACCAAATCCATTCGGTCATTTCGCGGGAAAGAAAGCAGGCCATTGGGCGAACAGCTTTATGTTCTTAAGTGGATTGCCAAAGGGGAGAGAGAGAAAGGGTTTCGTGGAATAGCGGGGGTGGAAGAGAGCGAGGATGAATCCTTCGAGTGGTCTGGCTCAAATTCGAGCAGCTTGCATTACCTTTCGAACCTTTTGAAGCTATTGCCGGTGAAACGATCGTCTGCAAAAAGGGAGAAGGGCCGATGGACCCTTTCGCGCGGATTAACGGAGAATCCAATGGGCCGTGGTGAAAGGTCGTGACTCGGAGGGGTCTTCTATCATGTTCAATCATGGTTATTCAATACAAACTCCTCCTCCTCCCCCTTTTTTATTTTCTGTAAATTTTTCAATCGAACCATTCTTAAAGCTGGAACCACAATCCAACGCTTGTTTATCGGATATTTTAAAAATATATCTCCTCGACTTTGTTGGCGGTGTCAAGGGAGAAAAGTTCGTGAAAATTCGCATCCGCGCGAGAGAACCAAGTTCCACGAAACGTTTGCGGGATTTTCTGTCAGATATTGAATACGATGAAACGTTTGATACACCGTACGAAGTTGGAAGAGGGAGGAGGAAAACTTTTGCGCGTGGAAATCGTATGATTTTTCAACATAGTATTAGAGTGGACGATCGAATACCTTTGAAATTATCACTCGATTAAAATTTAGTCGAGAATGGAATCGAATTAATACGTTGAACGATATTAGAATTATTCTATATTTTTATACTTGAAATTGTATCTAAAGCTACAAATTTATTTATATATTAAAAGCATTTTATTCGTTTAACTAAAAATAGAAAGAAGTAATGACTTTTACTTATCAACGAGTATCGTTGTCCTTTTTGAATCACCGTTCTTCTCTAAGGGATGACAATTTATAACTGTTCGTGCAACAATTTGGTCGTCCGATACCGATATATAGGGTAGCAAATTCATAGATAGGATGGAGTAATTGAAACACGAAACGAAAAGGGGGCCACCGCTCCTTTCAGCAACAAGTTAAGAATTTAATGATCACGGTTCTGAAAGGTTTCTCAAAGAGTCCCTCCCCCCAAAGCTGTTCCGCCGGCAACTTTACACTGGGAAAAGTAAAAGTTCTCAAAGAGGGGGGAGAGGGAGAGACTTCATTATAAACATCGCACCTTTGTCGAAGAAGAAGAAGGCTTCTACGATTGTTGTTACAGGATTCCTCCCCTCCTCCCTTCGAACGAATGGCTAAGTAAGTTGGACGAATCTTCGTGAACTTCGTCCCTCGTTAATCGTTTTTTCCTCGACGAGAAAAGGATGGCAGGAAGCACGGTGAATCGGCAATAATAAAGACCGATATATTAACGGGTCTCGAGTTTTTGCCAAGTGAAAAGGTACGATACGATGAAGTTTTTGTTCCTCTCTCCTCCTCCCCCTCTTGTTGTGACTAGAGAATGTCCCTAGCTGGAATGAAGCCAATCGACGAGCCTTGTTTTCCCTTTTTATCGAGGATGGTAGGAGCGGCTCTGAGATATGGCAATCGAGTCGAAAGTGTTGACGGAGACTCTTGAAAAACTCGGTTCTTGAAAAAGTTTCTTTCTTACATGGAAACGGCGTAAAATAAATTGAATACAAATCGAGGACTCCTATTGGAAATATACATCGTACGAATTCTTGATAAATTTGAATAGCATTCTATGGGCCAGGGCTATTGGAATTTAAAAACGAATCAAGTCGGATTGAGATAATTTAAACAACGGAGTTTTAACAACGGAGATCTAACATCTTTCAAAGTTGGAATATTAATTTTAATTTTGAAACAAGCGTTTTGCGAAAATAATAATAAGCACAAATGAAGCGTTCTATTGAATTGAATACGTGGATATGAAATATCTCATCAATCCAAGGTTGCCCACTTGTACAACACATTATTTAATCAGATTCGCTGAAGATAATTTGAAATTGGAAAATTGATCGTACGAGTTAATTCCAATTCGCTTGCTTCTTCCAGTTCTCCATCGCAAATTCTCTTGACAAGTATCTTCTGAAAAAATAATTTCTGAATTTCAATTTCTTTCAGATCCTCAAATCTAAATCATTCATATGAAAATCTCCTTCGACACTCATCTTCAACAAATTTCACATACCAAATCCTCCTCACGACAACCCTTACACTTAAATACCCCTTAAATGGATAATTTCG